ATTTCATTTGTTTTTGGCTATGATTAAGTGTTCTAAAATTAATGGTAATTCCTGTACCCAGGTGGTCCCACGCACCCCTCCCACCCTCCCGACACCACCCACCCACCCCACCCCTCCTCCACCATGCGTCTAGAGCCACAGACGGGATTAATACGGTATGGCCGAATATTCATCCGGCCAAACCAGCTTTTATCCGGTTCCTGTGGCCATTTTGGCCTGATATTGTGATAACTTTATCCGATGACGATTTTGGCCGTATAAGGGCGTTTTCCGGATGTTTGAATCCCGGATAATCGCGGGGTTACAGTACCTCATGTTGAACTCCTCCAGGCTCGCTTGCATAGCTCATGTTTAACTCTTCCAAGCTCTCCACATAGTTCATGTTGAACTGCTCCAGGTTCTCCACTTGTTTATATTTTTTCTGGAGGGAGCCCCGTAGGCTCCCCGGAGCTATCCCAGGCTGATATGCTAATGTCAGACTTTGGCATCAGTCATGTGTATGGAGTTCTTAGGCCTACCGGGGACCACGGCCAGAGCCGGGCCCCCTCAGAGAGGCAAGGGGAGCAATGGCCTATAGAAGCCCCCGTGTGGTTGGAAGCATTCTATGTCTGCCATCGACCGGAACAGGCACCCAGAAAGGTAAGCGCTCCAAAACAAACCCCTATTCTGGTGAAAATTGCTACCAAAAGCCGAACTAGTGGATAGAACTCCCCAACCGAAAACAAGCAAACTAGTGTGACGTCACACACTGCCGCGCCGCTGTCTGCGCAGCTCCCCGAAGGGGAAGCCCCAGACCCTCTACGCCGGCTACCCACACCTCAGTTCTTGAGGCTGATGCTATAGGCGATGGTCGTGTGCTCTGGCTCCGGTGTCGCTACTGCACTGTGCTTTGCGTGTGGTGTTAGTTTTGTGGGTGCGAGAGCCAGGAGTTATCTTCAGTACTCGGGCTGCATGCGCCTTCCCTAGGTGCCCTGTAAGTACTGCCCTTGGGGCTTGGGGCCACCTTCCACAGGCTCCTCGGGGTCTGCCTCTGCTGGTCCGTTTTACCTTTCGGTTTTTTGGCCGCCTGTTGGGCTCTTGGGTGTTCTGTTCTCCCTTGTTACCAGCAGGTAAGAGGCAGTTTGCACTAGTAGGGGCGCAGGGTGCTGCTCAGCTTGTATTTCCCAACATCGCAGCCGGCTCTGTTCCTTGGGGTTCGCTGTCCTCTTGCAGGGTTTTGTTTTCCTTTTTGTTTTTGCCTGGTGGGGGGTTCTGTCATTTTATTCAGTTTGTTTTTGCCCTTCCACTGTTCTCCTCGGTGGCGCCCCCTGCTAGGTCCCCGTGAGTGTACACGTCCCTGGGGTTCAGTTATAGAAGTTTGCTTGGTAGTTTTGGGCGCCGGTTTGCAGCACCCTGCCTGGGACTACCTGAGCACAAGTCCTCTTAAAGTAAACGCTCAGGACCCTGGGAACCCCCTAGGGGCGCGTGGGTCCGATGGATGTGACCCCGGAGTCCCCACTCGCTGTGTGCGAGTTTGAGGGTTGCTCGGTCCCCTTTTCTCAGGGTGACCCTCATTGTTTTTGCCTCTGCCACGCTGCCTGTTGGGTCAGTGATACTTTCAACCCTGAGTCCTGTGAGTGTTGCTGCTTGCTTGTGACTCAATTTACCCAATCCTCTGATGATTCTATTCGGGTACAGGCGGCGCATGCGTTGCAGTCTAGGTTTCGTCTGTTGCAACGCGCTCGGTTGATTGCTCACCCGGATGCCCCGGGGCTGCCCCGCTTTGCTTTTTGAGACCCGGACTTGGGGGTGGGAGTCGCTTCGATCCTGGTTCAATCCGCAACTCCTCGTCCTTCCCCTTCTGTTCGTTCTGGTCCCCTTCCCCCCTGCTTCCGGCCCCGAAGCGTCTGAGGGTTTTGGGGTCGGAACAGGGGTTACTTGATCTCGAGACTCGGGCAGCTTCGGGGGGTGCCCCTTCCGGGGGGGGGGGGGGGTGGCAGAGGCATTCGAGTCTTATCTCCCGGCCGAAGCTTCTGGGTCTGACCAGTGGGTCCCCCTTCCTCCAGCTTTTCTGGCTGCTCCGTCCTTGTCTTGTGGGGTCGGGGCTTGGGGAGAGGACTCGGCCTCGGGTCCTGTGGTGAAGGACCTCGAGGCTGGGGAGGGGGTGACTTGGGGGGCCCAAGGCCCCGCTGGACTCCGCCTGGGATTTTCTTCCCTCTGAGCGGGGCTTATTGTTACAAGGAGTGGGGTTTTCTTTTCCCCCCTCTGCGTACGAGTTGGATTTGGTGTCAGCCCCTCCCCGAGTTCGGTTCCGTGTTCCCCCGGGTACGTCGGTTCCGTCCTTCCGGAGGTTTTCGGCTTATCGCATCCAACCTGGTGTGGTGCGAGCGGCCTTTGCAGTTTACCTCCTGTGTGACCCGGATTATGTCTCGGAAATGGATCCGTCCGAATTCAGGTTTGGGACTTCGTTCCTTTTCTGGCTCCATTACGAGGTTCCGAAGTCGTCCTGGCTAGCAGACTGCCCCTTGTTTGTTCTGGATTCCTGGCAATCCTTCTGTCGTTCCCCGCATGCTGGAGTGGCGGGAAGCTTCCACGGTGCTTCAGGTTTTCCTGGGGGGCGAGCTTGAGTTCCTGAATGAGTGCTTATTTGCCCCTGCCCTTCCCCGCGATGTGGGTGTTATTCAGCTCCATGTGCAGGTTCCCTCCCTTTCGGCGGCACTCGTTGCGGAGGACTTGCACGTCCGGGGCCTTTTGGCTTCGGCCTTGCGGTTCTTTTCCCTCCTGGAGCTGTCTTCGGATTGGCTCGTGGAGGAAGTGAGGACGCTTGGGTCCGTCCCGGGGTCCGGTACCTTGTCCTTGGCTGCGCGTTCGTTGGCTTCCTTGTTGAAGCTGTTCACGCCGATTTTGCGGGATGCGGTTTCCCTGTTTTATGCTTCCCGTCTCGCGTGTCGGCAGAGGGTGCTGGGTTCCTCCATGGAATCTGCTTGGGCTCTGGCTCTTAGGCGTTCTTCAACTTTTTGTCCTCTTCTGTTTGAGGAGTCGGCCGTGGAGCAGTTTATTCAGGCTGCGTCGGCGGCTTGTCGCCCGATGTCGGACTTGTTGGTTTTCCAGGGGTCCCGGGGTGGGTCTTCCCGGAAAGGTCGTGCCAGGGCTCGGGGTTCCTCTCGTCGTGGTAGGCCTCTGGTGTCAGGTTCGGGGTTGGCTCCTCCTGCGGACCCTCCCTCGTCTGGTCGGCGCGGTGTTCGCGCTGTGCGGGGTTCTGGGTCTCGTAAGGTTCGCCGGCCCTTTCGCGGTTTGCCCCCTTGACGGGGCGATGGGGGGGGGGCGGCTTGCACTGTTCGCCCACACCTGGTCCCGCGATTCGTGGGCCTTTCGGGTCGTGTGTCGCGGCCTGCGGTGGCGTTGGGTGGCCCCTCCCCCCTTTGGGGGGTCGGGGCTGGCAGGGCAGGTTTCTTTCCCTGCGCTCTGTCGAGTCGTCTTGGAGTGGGTACGCTTGGGCGTCGTCGAAACGACGTCGTCCCTCAGATGGGTTTCTCGTCTGTTTCTGGTTCCGAAATGGGTCTGTGTGGACCTGCGGTTCATTCTGGACTTGTCCCGTCTGAACCCCTGGGTTCATTGCCCCCTCCTTTCGGATGACTACGCTGTCTCAGGTTCGGCTCCTCTTGGAGCCGGGAGCTTGGATGGTGTCCCTGGACTTCCGGGATGCTTATTGGCATGTCCCGATTCATCCACGGTTCAGGGACTGGCTCGGTTTTGTTGTGGGGCATCTGAGTTACCGCTTTCGTTGTCTCCCATTCAGGTTGAACCTGGCACCTCGCGTGTTCACGCGCCTTACACGGGTTGTGGTGGCTCGTTTGCATCTCCTAGGTGTTTGGGTGTTGGCCTACCTCGACGACTGGCTGGTTTGGGCTCCCAGCCAGTCAGCTTGCTTGCTAGCCAGGGATTTGGTTCTTTCCCAGCTCGCCGAGTTCGGGTTCTTGGTAAACTGGAGTAAGTCCCATCTGGTTCCCTCTCAGGTTCGGACTTGGCTGGGTCTCGTTTGGGACTCTCGAACCGCCTCCTTGTCTCTCCCTCCGGAGCCTCTCCTGCGGCTGCGGTCCCGCCTTCGTGTTTCTGGAGGGTCCTCGGGTCACCCAGCGGTTGCTCGAGGGGCTGTGCGGGAGCCTGAACTTCGCGATGGTGGTCTACCCGCCGGGTCAGGTTTGGCTTCAACGGCTGTTCTGGTTCCTTCGGGGTTTCCCCTTCCGCCTCTCTCGCGATCGCAGAGTTCGACCCCCAGGGGCCTTGCGTCGGTTGCTGCGTCACCGGCTTCCTCTTCGGGTTTTTCGAGGTTTAGTGCCTTGGCGCCTACCCGAGCCCTCGCTCGATGTGTACACGGATGCGTCGTCTCTCGGCTGGGGTTTTGTGACCAGTTCCCTTTTTCCCTGTTCGCGGGTTCGGGTCTCCCAGGTGACCAGGGATCACCAGGCAGCCTGGTGATGCTGTGAGCTGCTGCTGCCTGGCAGTGCTGTGAGCTGCTGCTACCTGGCAGTGCTGTGAGCTGCTGCTGCCTGGCAGTGTTGTGAGCTGCTGCTGCCTGGCAGTGCTGTGAGCTGCTGCTACCTGGCAGTGCTGTGAGCACTCTCTCCCATGAGCACTCCAACCCAATCACTTTCTCTAAGCAACTCTCACAATTTTCCACAAGATCTTTTTAAAGTAAAAAAAAATCTATATATAACTTTCTGCTATCTCTTCCCGTGCCATTATTAACGGCATTTTTAAATTCCAATTGGATATGATCACTCTTTCCTTTTAGTCAGGTACGGGATCTACCATTGATTGGATATCCCCTTTCTGTATTTTGTTGGCCTTCTTTTCATGTTGATGTATAAATTCCTTCAGAATGAGGTTTACAAATTATTGTGTGTTGTATATTTTATCTCGGTCAATTCCTGTTAGCGTTCTCTTCAGCTACTACTCTTCTTGTGTAGGTATTTATGCATGTTTTGTGAACTCATAGAAATTAATTATTTATATTGCAGCTCTCATGAAACCAGCATCCGTGAGAGTGGAGCGTCTCACTCCCAGTCACATCAATGAGAAGTTTTTAATTAAACACAACATCAGCTGGAAGTCGGGATCTTTGCTGCGCAAGAAGCTGACGATTATTGAAATTAAATGTAAGTCACTTAACTCTTTGACTTGTTTGTCATTTTATCCCAGATTGTTCGTGAAATATGGTAACTCTCAGGTGATTAATGTTTATTAATCACCTGAGAGTTACCATATTTTATATTGTGGAATTTTTAATTTACTGCTGCTAATTTACTTTAAAATATATTTAAATTTAATTTAATTGTTGTAATTTACCCTAGATAACATAGGATAAAAATCTTCACATGTGTTTGTTAAATTTGTCATTTGCACTCTCCTGAGTGCTTTGTTGACGTCTGAATATGTAGTTAGGACGAGACTTACATCTCAACATTTAATGAGGTTTCTATCTTGGGTCCAGTCCTCTTATCTTTCTTGACCTGACCATGTCACCTCACTTCACCAATATACATGCAGTAATGTCTTCTATAGAATTATGGTTATGTGTTCTTTCTTTAATCCTGCTATTCTGAGAACTGGAGTTGTTGTTAATAGAAGTGTTCATCTGGATGCTATCCATTGTAACCCTCTCTATAACCCAAGGAATGCGGCTAATGGGACTGCTTTCATTCATCCATTTATTGAGATCTAATTTTAATTCACTCAGAATCATTTTCCTACTAAAGCTATCCTCCAAAGTTAAGTTTCTGGGGGGGGGGGGGAGCCCCTACGGCTCCCCGGAGCTTACTAGACTGATATGCTAATGTCAGACTTTGGCATCAGTCATGTGTATGGAGTTCTATGGGTCTACCGGGGACCACAAGCCAGAACCTGGCCCCCTCTACAGAGGCAAAGGGAACAATGGCCTATAGAAACCCCCGTGTGATTGGAAGCATTCTATGTCTGCCATCGACCGGGTTAGGCACCCAGAAAGATAAGCGTCCCAAAACAAACCCCTGTTCTGGTGAAAATTGCAACCAAAAGCCGAACAAGTGGATAGAACTCCCCAACAAAAACGAGCAAACTAATATGACGTCACCCGTCGTCACGCTGCTGTCTGCGCAGCTTCCCCCTCCCAGGGAGGGGGAAGGGGAAGCCCCAGACGCACCGCGCCGGCTATCCACACACCAGTTCTTGAGGCTGATGCTATTGGCTCTGTTGTGTGCTCTGGCTCCAGTCTTTTTGCGCCGCTGTACCTTGTGTGTGGCGGCTTTACTCCAGGGGTGCGAGAGCCAGGAGTTATTCTTCAGTACACGGGCTGCATGCGCCTAGGGTGATCAGTATGTCATGTGTAGTATGTCAGCCGGCCGGTTGGCCGAGCGGACAGCACGCGGGACTTGTGATCCTGTGGTCCTGGGTTCGATCCCAGGCGCCGGCAAGAAACAATGGGCAGAGTTTCTTTCACCCTATGCCCCTGTTACCTAGCAGTAAATAGGTACCTGGGTGTTAGTCAGCTGTCACGGGCTGCTTCCTGGGGGTGGAGGGCTGGTCGAGGACCGGGCCGCGGAGACACTAAAGCCTCAAAATCATCTCAAGATAAGGGTTCCTTTTCCAAGGTGCTTTGTAAGTGTTACCCTTGGAGCTTGGGGTTACCTTCCACAAGTTCCTCGGGGTCTGCCTCCTTGGGTTTGTTTAACTGCTCAGACCGCCCTTTGGGTACTTGGGTGTTTTGTCTCCCTCGTTTACCTTAGAGTAAGAGGCAGTTTTTGCACTGGTAAGGGGCGCAAGGTGCTGCGCAGCTTGTTGTCACCTATCACAGCGACCGGCTCTGTTCCTTGGGGTATGTTATCCTCTTGTAGGGTTTTGTTTTCCTTTTTGCCTTGGTGGGGGGGAGGTTCTGCCCTACTTGTCACTGGTGTTTGACCTCATACTGATACTTGGTGGCGCCCCCTGCTTGGTCCCCATGAGTGTACACGTCCCTGGAGTTCAGCTGTAGACAGTTTGTTTGGTAGTTTTGGGCGCAGGTTAGCAGTACCCTGCCTGGGTTTACCTGAGCGCAAGTCCTCTTCAAGTAACCGCTCAAGACCCATGGGAATCCCTTAGGGGGAACGTGGGTCTGATGACTGTGACCCCGGAGTCACCCCCCTCCCCCCCCCCCTCGCTCAATGTGAGTTTGAGGGTTGTTTGGTCCCCTTGTCTCAGGGTGACCCCTCATTGTTTTTGCCTCCATCACGCAGCCTGTTGGGTCGGTGACACTTTCGACCCGGAATCCTGTGAGTATTGCTGCTTGCTGGTGACTCAATTTACCCAATCTGTGGATGATCATCTTCGGGTACAGGCTGCGCAAAGGTTTTGTTTGTTGCAACGCACTCGGTTGGTTGCTCACTTGGATAGCCCGCGGCTGCCCCATTTTGCTTATAGGGACCCGGACTTGGGGTGGGGGTCACTTCGACCCTGGTTCAGTCCACACCTCCTAGTCCTTCCCCTCCTGTTGTTCGTTCTGGTCCCCCTCCCCTGCTTCTGGCCCCCAAAACATCTCAGGGTTTCTGAGTCGAGGCAGGAATTAGTTGGTCTTGAGACTCGGCCAGGATCGGGGGATGCCCCTTCCAGTGTGGCGACAGAGGCATTCGAGTCTCCTCCCCCGGCTGAAGCTTCTGGGTCTGACCAGTGGGCCTCCTTCTATCCGGCTTCTACAGCTGCGCCGGCCTTGTCTGGTGGGGTCAGTGCTTGGGAGGAGGGCTCAACCCCAGGTTCTGCGGAGGAGGACCCTGGGGCTAGGGAGGAGCTGACTTGGGGGCCTTGGGCCCCGCTGGACCCCACCTGGGTTTTTCTGCCCTCTGAGCGGGGCTTACTGTTACAAGGAATGAGGTTTTCTTTTTCACCCTCTGCGAGGGTGAGTGAGGGTTAGCGGGAGGGGACGGACGTGTCGTCGTCGCGCTCCGTGAAAACACTGGAATAAACCGGGCTTTTTTAGGATTACAACCATGTATTATGGCCCACAGTGATCACCAAGTGCATAGTGACCCGTAGGAAAGTTGAATACAGAAATTAACAATGGAACTTTGAGTTAAATACAGAATAAACATGGGACCACGTGGTGAGCCAGTGCCACCAAGCTCATGTGTACAGGCATATAGGCGATATATATCAAATATAGCGAGCAGTGATACGTTGAACAGTGAAGTGGAACGTGTAACACAACACACAAATTAATGGATAGTGTTAGAGAATTGTACATAGAAAAAGTATAAATGTAAAGTTGTGGCATGAGGCATCACACTAGGCTGATTATACCACAGCCACGAGGCCGACACAGTGTAAGGGACATCCCTCGGTGATAGTAAACTCCCTCAGTGATAATATACTGGCAATATATACTGTAATACGGGAAAGTGGATTTAGGAACTAGTAATAGAGTAAGTGAATAACATTGCAAGCTGGAAGAAAGCAGAAAATCCCTTAAGGTATTACAGGCAAATAATAAGTGTATAAATCAAGTAACCGGCAACCGGTGGCATCCTGCCCCCTGTCCCTGACCTGGGACAAACAACGGTCAACTATACGGTCCCCAAGAGGACCATATTTCTCCACAAGGCGATAAGTACCCCCTCATAAACTTGAACAAATAAACATATGTAATATTATAAATATACTGTATACATATTATATATACAGTACAACCTCGATTCAACGTACTATATGGGACCGACCCCAGTTCGTTGGAGTGTTGGATTCGTTGCAAGAGGTGACCTTCAGGAGGCGTCTGCATCAGTGTCTTTATTTTTCTTGTAGACAATAAAAATGCATTATCATATTATGTACTGTACCTATATATTATTACTCTACTAACAAATACTGTTACATTTGTTATTTACCTTATTGTTGGAGTTAAGTCCATTTTGAAGTCTCATGGAGTTGTGAATGCTGTACAGTAAATACATACTGTGGTGTATTATGCCATTAACACTGTGTTGAGTAGTTCTGTTGTATGTTGAGTACTGCAATAAAGTTTATGAAAACTATTGTACACTAAAATTACTGCAACTTTAATTTTAACACTATATTTTGATTTGTCAAGAGGCTGGAGTGTTCATTCCGCGACTTTGTTGGACATATCGGCACAATCAAGGAACATCCGTGCACCATGTCGGCTCCAAATGCACTCATTGTGTCAGTGATGGCTGACTGGTGGGTGGATGGGCAGGCAGGGAGGGAGGCAGGCAGGCAGGCAGGCAGGGAGGGAGGCAGGCAGGCAGGCAGGCAGGCAGGCAGGCAGGCAGGCAGGCAGGCAGGCAGGCAGGCAGGCAGGCAGGCAGGCAGGCAGGCAGGGAGGGAGGGAGGGAGGGAGGGAGGGAGGGAGGGAGGGAGGGAGGGAGGCAGGCAGGCAGGCAGGCAGGCAGGCAGGCAGGCAGGCAGGCAGGCAGGCAGGCAGGCAGGCAGGCAGGCAGGCAGGCAGGCAGGCAGGCAGGCAGGCAGGCAGGGAGGGAGGCAGGCAGGGAGGCAGGCAGGCAGGGAGGGAGGGAGGCAGGCAGGCAGGCAGGCAGGCAGGCAGGGAGGGAGGCAGGCAGGCAGGCAGGCAGGCAGGCAGGCAGGCAGGCAGGCAGGGAGGCAGGCAGGCAGGCAGGCAGGGAGGGAGGCTGGCAGGCAGGCAGGCAGGGAGGGAGGCTGGCAGGCAGGCAGGCAGGCAGGCAGGCAGGCAGGCAGGCAGGCAGGGAGGGAGGCAGGAAGGAAGGAAGGCATGCAGGCAGGCAGGCAGGCAGGCAGGCAGGCAGGCAGGCAGGCAGGGAGGGAGGCAGGCAGGCAGAGCTTGGGAGGGAAGTAGGCAGGCAGGAAGGGAGGCAGGCAGGCAGAGCTTGGGAGGGAAGTAGGCAGGAAGAGAGGCGGGCAGGCAGAGCTTGTGAGGGAGAGGCAGGCATGGAGGGAGACAGGCATGGAGGGAGGCAGGCAGAGCTTGGGAGGGAGGCAGGGAAGGAGAGAATGGAGATGGATTGATGGAAGGATGGATGATTTGAGGGTGTGTGTATGTGTATGGGCTGTAGGGGTGGAGGGGGGGTGTCAGTGGTGGTGAAGGGACCGACTCGGTGATAACCCTAACTGACCCAGTTAACTTTTTTTTAACTTGATTTGTTTCTTCAATTCTAGATGG